AGTCAATTCCAACTCACAGAGACCCTTTATGACTGGGCAGAACTGCCTAGGTGGGTTTTCAAGGTTGTAACTCTTTATAGAAAGCCTCATCTTTCTCTGGAGGGGCAGCTGATGGCTTCAAAATGCTGAGCATGGGGTTAGCAGCCCAACCAGTAACCACTACAGTATACCACCAGGACTTCTAAGTGTAAATGAAGGAGGTCTAATAATTGAAGAACTGAACGATTGCTAACTGAACGATCAGGAAGCACCAGCTCCTCTGTGGGAGAAAGATTTGACAGTCTGCTTCCTTAGATTGTGGCCTTGGGAATCCTATGATGAATAGTAACTTATAGATTCACCATGTCTCAGCATCAACTCCACACACAAGATTGGAGGAAGAGCTTGGAGCAAACTAGTGCTGATGACATGGAGGCCTTGTAGCCTAAGGGCTCAAAAGGGTTCTGACCATGTGGGTGAATTGATAAGTCTTACAGTGAAGACTATATATCCTGGCCAACTGGAAGACCAGCTGAAAGATATGATGATGATAAACAGAGCTAAAGAATGGCATTAAGGCAGAAAAGAACTTCAACACATTTTGATAGTATATTGATGCTACATGAGGGATAGTTGAGAAAAATAAGATTCCAGAAAGAAATAAGGCCCCAGTTTGGGGCTTTGTCTCAACTTGCATCTGCATTGACCAGAAAGAGATCTGGGAGGAAGAATGGATTTGGGGGAAAAGTGGGATTAGTTGATCCACATTGAGTTTGAAATGCCTTCAGAACACTGAAGTAAAAGGGTCTAGTAGGCATTTTGACATAAGCCTGGAACTCAGAAGGAAAGAGTTCTGTTCTACAGATACCTATTCTAAATCAACATTAGACAGATGATAACAGAACCCATTGAATTATTCAGGGAGAGGATGGAGAATTAGATTAGAAAGACAGAAAAGTAGCAGGCAGAGAAGTAGCTTTTAGAAACACTAAATCAAAGAAAAATTGAACTTAATTTAGAAAGTGTACTAATATATTTTGGATTATTTTAAATTTTTTGGAAAAACCTTCCTTAACAATAAAATTGAATTAAGTAAAAACACTCCATTCCCTAAGATCTCCAGTTACTTGTCATTTACTGAACTATTCAAAATATTTGTCAAAACATTCAATAGCCATAGGTTAGCCAATTAGCAGAACTGTATTATTAGACAGATGACTGAATATCAAACTAATTAATATTTGGTTAAATACATTTTAAAAATGATCTAATGTCTAGGATT